TTATTAGAGTGAGAGAACACAAGCAGCGGGAGCAGCAGAGGGAGAGGGAGAAGCAGACTCCCTGCTGAGCCCAGAGCCTGATGCGAGGCTCGATCCCAGGACCCTGGGATCATGACTTGAGTTGAAGGCAGATGCTTAACTGACTCAGCCATGCAGGCGCCCAGAGACATGTCTAGTTCTAATCATAGCTTTGCTTCCACCACCTGGCTAAAAAGTCCCTTAAACCATCTCAGCCTCTGTCACCTCATCTGTAAAAGAGAAGTAATATCCTCTATTTTGGGGGTTCTTGTGAGATTACTAAAGAGGCACAGCATTTAGCTCGTAAGCATTTGTGTAGGTGGTAAATATCGTTACCAGTGTATGCATGTTGTACCTACAGCAACGGGCACAAGACTTCCTCTGCTAAAGGTACAAGATCGTTTGGAGCCACTTAGGTAAGTAGGCTCAAGGAAGGCGGGATTCAAGGCCCATCTATCGGGTTCCCATACATCGCTGCTTGCAGGAGATGCGGCAGCCTGGAAGCTGAGTGTGGCAAATGGCTGACTATCCCCCACATCCATTCTCCCCTTCTTCCTTAATAAGAGTTTTAGCTGGACACACAGTTATCCTGTTTGCCTCCCTCCCTGGGAGCCAGGTGTGCCCACATAACCAAGAGCCCGCAATGGGGTGTGTACAGAAGAGATGTGCACAACTTCCAGGTTATCTCCAAATTAAAGCCAAGCTGCTTGCAGTGAATAAGCTCTTTCTCTGTCTCTAGAATATAAACGCTGAAGTAAGTCACTCACATGTAACCGTTCAGACAAGAAAATACACTGAGGGACCCAGAAAGAACCTGAGTTTCTTTTCCTTTTTTTAAGGAGTGAGAGTGAGCACAAGCAGGGGAGGGGCAAAGAGAGAGGGGGAGAGAGAATCTAAACGAGATTCCATGCTCAGTGCAGAGCCTGACAAAGGCTCGATCTCACAACCCTGACAACATGACCCGAGCCAAAACCAAGAGTCAGATGCTTAACAGACTGAGTCACCCAGGGGACTCAGGAACCTGGGTTTCTGAATGATCTCATGGGCCCAGCTAACCTACAGTCTGGACTCTTTAGAAAAGAAAGACACTTCTACCCAAAGCACATCTATAGATCTCTTCGTAATAATAGATGAGATTAATATATTAACTATTCTCATCAGCCTATAGACAAGTAATGAAAGTGTTAGACTGAAGCCTATGAAGTTGCTGTTTTTGTAGGTCGAAAATACTGGAATACCCCTACACAGTTCAACCTAATGAAATCTGGTCAGATACTTTAAGGAAAGAAAACTCTTTTCTTTGTAATAGTTACTTCACCCTGTAATGAATGTGTGGGAAAATAAGATGTAGGATACAGAAGCTATAAAACATCACTAAAAGAAACTGGAAAAGGCCCACCTAAACAGGAAGATATCCCACGTTCATGAATTGGAAGACTTACTGTTGTTAAGACGGCAATACCCCCCAAAATGATCTATAGACTTAACACAATCCCTATCAAAATCTCAGCTGTTTATTTTGGAGAAATTAACAAAATGCTCCTAAAATTCATTTGGACACACAAAGCACCCAGAACGGCCAAAATCATCTTGAAGAACAACAACAAAGTTGGAGGACTCTCTACATTGTAATTTCAGAACTTACTACAAAGCTACAATAATTAGAACAATAGTACTGGCATAAGGATAGATACATAAACCAGTGGAGTATAACTGAGTCCAGAAAAGACCCTTACATTTATGGCAAATTACTCTTTGACAAGGGTGACAATTAGAAGAACGGCCTTTTCAACAAATGAGACTAGATAGAGGAGTCCCCGCTTATCCATGGGAGATACATTTCAAAACCCTCACTGGATGCCTGAAACGGCAGGTAGCACAGAACCCTATATATTTTTTTCCTATACATACATACATACCTATGATGAAATTTAATTTGTAGATTAAACATAGTAAGAAATGAACAATAACTACTAATAAAAGGGAATAATTATAATAATATAAGTTATATAAATATGCTCTCTCTCAAAATCTTATTTATCTATATTCACCCTTCTTCTTGTTTTGCCTTTTTTTTTTCAAAGATTTTATTTACTTATTGGAGAGTGACAGAGGAAGCACAAGCAGGGTGAAGGGCGACGGAAAAGCGGATTCCTCACTAAAGCAGGGAGCCCGATGTGGGACTCAATCCCAGGACTCCAGGATCATGAACTGAGTCAGACACAGGCGCTTAACTGACTGAGCCACCCAGGCACCCTCACCCTTCTTCTTGCGGTGATGTGAGATGATAAAAAGCTGACGTGATTAAGATGAAGTGAGGTGAATGACGTAGGCATTGTGATACAGCGTTAGGTATTCTGATGACAGATCTGACCTTCCAGACCACAGGTGACCATGGGTAAATGAAACCATAAAAAAGCAAAATCACTGATAAGGAGGGACTACTGTAGTCACAGGCAAAAGAATGAAGTTAAATCCCTTACCTCACACCACATACAAAAATTAACTCAAAAGAGAACAGAGACCTAAATGTAAAAGCTAAGTTTTATAACTCTTAGACGATAACATAGGTACAAATATTCATAACCTTGGTCATGGTTTTTTAAATATGACACCAAAAACACAAGCAACCAGAAGAAAAAGCAGATAGATTGGACCTCATCAAAATTTAAAATATTGGCATTTCAAAGAACACCATCAAGAAAGCAAAAAGAAAGAGACCCACAGAAAGGGAGAAAATATTTGCAGACCATGTATCTGATAAGAGACGTGTTAAGGATATATAAAGAACTCTTTCAACTTAAAAATAAGAAGACAAATAGCCCAATTTTAAAATTGGTAAAGGGCGTCAATAGACCTTTACCAAGAAGATATACAAATGGCCAACGAGCCATGAAAAGATGTTCGACATCAGTAGTCATTAGGGAAATAAAACTAAAACTACAATGAGATACCACTTCATATGTAACAGCAAAGAGGTAATTAAAAAGACATACAATAAGTGTTGAGAGGATGCAGAGAGATTGGAATCCTTCTACATTGCTAATGAAAATGGAAAATGATATAGCTGTGGTAAAAAATAGTTTGGTGGTTCCTCAAAAAGTTAAACACAGAGTTACCATATGGCTTGGCAAATTCTCTCCTAGGTATACACTCCAGGGAAATGAAAATGTGTTGACACAAAAGTTTGTACAAAAATGTCCACAACAGCCTTATTCATAATTGCCAAAACGTGGAAACACTTCCAAAGTCCAACAACTTATGAACAGATAAATGAATTTTCACACAATGGAATATTATTCCACTACAAACAGGAACAAAGTTCTGACTCATTCTATAACATGGTTGAACCTTGAAAACGTGATTTAAAAAAGCCAGTCACAAAGACCAGATGTTGTATGATTCCATGTATATGAAATGACTATAATAGGCAAACCCATAGAGACAGAAAGTAAATTAGTGGTTGCTGGGGGTAGGGGGAGGCAGGATTCAGGAATGATTACTAATAGGCACTGGGTTTCTGATAAAAATATTGCGGAAACAGGTAGCAGTTGTAGTGGTTGGAATGGCAGCCCTAAAATGTAGGTCCATGTCCTAATATCCAGAATCCTTATGTGGAACAGAGTCTCCCCTAAAGTCTCTGGAGGGAGTGGAGCCCTGCTCATACTGATTTCAGACTTCTGGCCTCCAGACTACACATGTCTATGGTTTAAAGCCACCAGGTCTGTGGTAATGTGTTACAGCGGCCCTAGCAATTAGACAATGGTCATTGGAACAAATTTGGTAAATTGACTAAAAAGCATTGACTTACACATTTTCAAGGGTGAACTCTGTCATATGTGTATACAATCTCAATAAAGCTGTTATTTAAAATACACATACTCAGGGCTCCTGGGGGGCTCAGTCAGTTAAACATCTGACTCTCGATTTGGGCTCAGGCCACGATCTCAGGGTCGTGAGACTGAGCCCCGTATCGGGCTCCGTGCTCAGCGCAAAGTCTGCTTGGGATTCTCTCCCCCTTCCTCTCCCTCCCCTTCTGCTCCCTTCTCGTGCATGCTTTCTCTCTCTCTCTCTCTCTCTCTCTCTCAGATAAATAAAATCTTAAAAAAAAATAATACACATATTCATCATACACATACACAAGCTCACTTTACAACTCATCGGGAAGAAACAAATGCATGGACTAGGTACAATGGTCACCTGTAGTCCTTCCTTTAGGTATACCGTGCTGACGCTACTGTCTCAGAGCCACGAGGACGCATGCTCTGTAGAAGCTCATCTTCCCATCAGCAAGGACAAGATCTATATATAAAATATTTATTTGTTTTTTTGTTTGTTTATTTTTGAGGACAAGATTTTTTTTGACCCATGTGTCCTTATGACCTATTGGCTGATATTTACTGAGCGGGGGGCGGGGGTTGATCTAATCTGTAAGTCTGCAGTTCTGGGTAATTGCTTGAGACCCATCTTCTCCCATTTCTGTATCACTGTTCAACCGAGAGAGCCCCAACTAAAAGGTTAACCAGACAACTAGAAATTTCCAACCCACCAAAATAAGAGATCGCACAAAGAATATGCATTAGCAGAAGAGCTTGCAATGGGGACAGGTCCAGCAGTACACAGCCACAGGTGCTAAGGCAGCCAGGATGACCTGGGGAAGGTTCCCAGGAATGAGCGGGTACACTCACCACCCTACCATCAGAGATGGACGTGCACACTGACCCTGGGATCTACTGGTCTTTCCTACAGAGAAATCACCAAGAGGTTGTAGCTGCCACAGCACTAAAGGGACTTTGGGTAGATGAAGGCATTAGAAACGGTCCCATGGCAACCTGTGAATTCCTGGAGATTGCTCTGAAGGGGTCACTTAGACCTATTTGGGGTGCCTGGGAGTCTACACATCCTCAGTTCTCCAAGTCCTAAAACGTGTGTGCACCCAAAATAAACCTGAGGAGCACAGACCCTGAGCCTCTGGATCTTACCTCCACACGTCACTGCCTTTGGAAAACATGGAGGCACGAATGACTTCGGGTGCCATCCAAGCATACGTCCCCGCTGCGCTCATTTTTGTGGTTCGGTGCCACTCTCGAGCCAGGCCGAAGTCAGTGATCTTCAGAATCTTGTTGCTCAGGTCTCCATTCTCCACCTTCTGGAGGATCAATACTGGGAGAGAAAAAGACATGGAAGAAACCAGAAAGTCTGCATCAATCACAGGAAAACCAGCAAATACAGAGCCCTCCTGCCAGACTCTTGTCCTCTCCTCCAGGCTCCCTGGGCAGCTACCCTAGCGTGATGGTATGAACCACCGGTTTTGGTAAGACGCCCCTACGATGCATCCATTTTTGTGCCAAGTCTTTCATAGGCATTATCTTTAACTCACAACAACCTTATGAGGTAGGTACCATTGCCATATCCTTTCCACAAGATGAGGAAACTGAGATACCAACTAATAAGCCAGGACCGAAACGCAGGCAGTCGGACACAAAAGCCCTTTTTTACCCTCATGGCATACAGCCCATTCACACCCTATGGAAGGAGCCACAAGGTCACAGCCGACCCTTCTGAGGAGAGCCTACTTGGGCTTCCCGTCTGCCCGGGCACCCTGGGCCATAACCACTCTCAGACTATAAGGAATGGCGGTGCATGGTGTATTTCCAAGGTTTCGGACTGTGTCTGGGCAGTTTCCATGAACTTCTATAAGTTACTTTACTTAAGCCTGTAAGAAAACGTGTCTTGGGGCACAGAGGCTTCCCCTTGACCTGGGAACTCACCCGCAGGCACTGAGAACTGGCTGACAAGTTACAGAAGTCAAAGGGCACACACATGTTTACACCCACAAAGCTTTCTGTAGATATGACCCAGGAAGAAAGAACTAATGTGCCCAACCAGTTACACTCTGGGCCTGTCCCCCGGCTTCTAACACCAAAGCACCCCTGTGTGGAGCCATCTTGGCTCTCCTAGGATGGTAGCTGAGGTGGCCACCTCCAGGGGGTTTCAGGGATATGTGTCCCCTTGCAGGGGCCAATCTTCCTAAGAAGAGCAAAAGCGCTAATTGACTAAAGTCCTGGAAGCTAAGCCAAGGAACTCTGAGAGGGCAGTGGCCGCGTGGAAGCCAGAACTCCATGTCCACAAGCAGGATGGTTCTGAAGGCTCCACGTGAGCACAGCCTCCTGTGGGCCGGACGTTACACGGCCCAGAATTCAGAGCTCTCTACGCAGGATTTCAGAGAAGGAAGGAGCCTCTCCCCAGCCCTCCTGTTCAAGTCCAATTGGAGAGGGTGGGGAAAGGAATCCATCGAAGAGAGAATAACAACTAAAAAAAGGTTGACTCTGTTCCTCCAGCCACTCTGTCTAGGTAAACAATGAAAACAGGAGTTCTGAGCCCTACTCGGGGAGGGCTACCCTTCCTGGGTTGGTTCTCCACAGACTCCCACTGAGGGGCTCTTAAGAAGGCTCTACCTCGACCTCTCTGAGAGGTCTTTGCAATTTAAGATTCTCTGACAGCTCAAACTCTTTCGCTATCTAAAGAAAGGGTCCGTGATGGTGGTACTTACTCTAGGTACCAAGGAGGGGCTCGGAGGTGACTCTGAGGGCAAGGACCTTAGGTAGGTCCCTCCCGTCAGCCTGCCCCCAGCCTGTAAACGTCCACTGAACCGTTACATATTGGAAGGATGTGGGCCACAGATCTCTGTGTCCTACGTGCTTCTCAAAAAACCAGCCGTGGAGAGGGATGACGAGGAGCTATAGCGCTGGAAACGCAGAGAAAACCGTGCCAGCCCCTCCCTAGGTCTAATGGACTCAGTGTCCTTCCTCCACACCCTCTCTCTGACTCCCCGGACATACTCCTCTCCACTCTGAGCTGAATGGATCCACACCTCTAAAGGCTTGGACAGATTTAAAAAAAAAAAATACTTTCTCCATCTCATCAAATAACAAAACTCTTTCCAGATTCTTCTGTGCCCCTCTCCCCATCTCCGCCAGCAGAGATAACAGACAAATATGCACTCAAACTGTTGGGCCAGTGGCACTAATGAAACTCACCATTCCCTGTACGAGGCAGCCCCCAGCCACGGACCATTTCTAAGCTGCCCTGAAACCAAAGATTCAGAGTGAGGCCATCCGCTTACCCAGACAGTGGGGTCTGGTCTTGTAACAGCCCCCCAACCCCAACTCCAGGTGCTGGGACGGGGTGAGTGGGAGGAGGGTAACAGTTTCCTGGTACATATGGAACCTGCTAAGCTTCACAGATTCTAGGCTGGGGAGCAAAGACGTCTAGGTTCAAGTGGATTTTTAGACACTGAATGGCGTGAAGAGGATGTCGGATGGCTTAAGGGGGATGGCAGGATGGAGATGGGGCAAGAATCAGCCCAGGAAAGATCTGCCAGAATACGAATGCCTTTAGGTAGTGTAGGTCCCGCCCAGTTCCACCGAGTCCCCACCAGTCTCTGCTGCCTTAAATCCAGCGACTTCAAACAGGTTTCCCCACATGCTGGACCCCGACGGCATCGGAGTTAGAAATCCCTGGTCTTCGGGCTCTGACCTCAACAAAGGGGAGAGGCTGTAGTTAGAAGCCAGCTAGTAATTCTGGCTCTGTCTCTCGATTTCTATCTAGTCCCAAAACATTTTTCATCACCCGCCAAAGGAAATCCATACTGGCAGCCATCATTCCCCATTCTCTCCTCTCCCCAGCCCCTAGCAGCCACCAATGTGCTCCCTATCTCTATGGATTTACCTATTGTGGCTATTTTATACAAATGGACAGGTGACAGGTGACACATCTGGTAATTTCACATAGCATAATGTTCTCCAGGTTCCTCTGTATTATAGCTTGTAGCCACACGGCACGCCTTTCTATGGTTGAGTAATATTCCTTCATACGCATATACCACAATTTGTTTATCCATCTGTCCACGTCAGACATTTGAGCTGTTTCCGCCTTTTGCTTACTGTGAGGAAGTGCCGCTATGCACACATAGGTCTGACTATTTGTTTCCGGACCTGTTCTCCGTCCTTGGGGATATGCACCGAGGAGCAGAATCACTACGTTGTGATGGTAATTCCATGTTTGCTGCTTCCCACAGCAGCCGCCCCATTTTACATCCCCACCAGCAGTGGGTGAGGGTTCCAATTTCTCCACATCCTCAACACACTTATTTTCCCTTTTATTTACTTTAAAAAAACAAAACAAAACAAAATTACAGCCATCCTAGAGGATGTGGAGTGGTCTCTCACTGGGGTTTTTTGACTTGCATTTCCCTACTGACCAATGATGCTGGGCATATATCCATGTGCTTGTTTGCCATTTGTGTATCTCTTTTTAAGAAATGTCTTTTTACTCTTAATCTCAGGAGACAAACTGAGGGTTGCTGGGGGGGGGGTGGAGTGGCTAGATTATGGACATTGGGGAGGGTATGCGCTATGGTGGTCGCTGTGCATTGTGTAAGACTGATGAATCACACACCTGTACCCCTGAAACAAATAATACATTATATGTTATCTTAAAAATGCAGGAAAAAAAGAGAAACCTCTTTTGTTTTGAGTTGTAAGACTCAATGGGGTGCCTGGGTGGCTCAGTGGGGTAAGCCTCTGCCTTCGGCTCAGGTCGTGGTCTCGGGGTCCTGGTATCAACCCCTGCATCAGGCTCTCTCCTTGGCGGGGAGCCTGCTTCCCTCTCTCTCTCTGCCTGCCTCTTTGCCTACTTGTGATCTCTTTCTCTGTCAAATAAATAAATAAATAATTTTTAAAAAGACTTCTTTCTATAGATTCTATAGATTCCATTCCAGTGTCTCGTGCGTAAGTGCAAGCACTAAACCCCTACCAAATAGATGACTTGCAGATATTTCCCCCCTTTCTTAGGGCTGTCTTTTCACCTACGTGACAATGTCCTTGGATGCACAAAAGCTTTTAACTTAGATGAAGTCCACTTTATCTGTTTTTTATTTTGTTGGTCATGCTTTTGATGAAATATGAAGGATTCCATTGCCAAATCCAAGTTCATGAAAATCTGCCTCTATGTTTTCTTTTACTAGTTTTACGGGTTCAGCTCTTATAATGAGGTCACTGATCCATCCTTAGTTCATTTTTGTGTATCACAAGAGGGTGTTCAACCTCATTAGTTGGCATATGACTATCCAATTGTCCCGTTTGTTAAAGAAAAAGGCTTTACTTTTAAAAACAGAATGGAGTAGTTCCCTCCCAGTACACTTTCCCTGGGGAAAGGAAAGTTATAATCACAGCAGCTTATCTTCCGTACCCTTGAAGTTAGACCCTTCTGAACTTCTACCACCAACAAATAGCCACAGCAAGAACAAATTATTGTGCTTTACTTGGAAAATTTAAGAATGCTTTATCAAAATCTAATGACGTCTGTCCAAGTATCGTGTAAAGCTCACCTCTCAGAGGTAGGGCAGCGGAACAAATGCTGAAAACAAGTCCAACCTAAGTCAATGTGGGGGTTTGGGGGCTGGCCAGGTAGGAGGGCTCAGAGAGGAAAAGGTGCATCTGAACTAAAAGTCTTACTGACTAACCCGACAGAGAGGTTGGATGGAGAAGGAGGAGGTTCCCAGCCTTTCAGATGTGGGTGACAAGTAGAATGGTGGCACCCTTGATTGAAGTTGAAAGGCAAAGCCCTTTGAGGAAGCCAAGTTCAATTTGGGATGATGTAATGGGTCTAGGGCGACGGTAACAAGAGTCAGTATGGATCAGAAAAAAGCCCAAAAAGCAGATAATTTAAATCCCAGTCTTGATACTCTACATGTGACCCTGGACAAGTTTTATAAACTCTGCACTTCTACTCTCACTTCTATAAAACGGGGATAAAGATTAGAGGCGACATAGTAACAAAGCACCTAGCAGAGGGCCTGACACCCAAACAGGGACTCGGGACACCACAGCTATTAGTGTTACTCTGATGATTCAGTGTCTCGTGCGTAAGTGCAAGCCAGGGGACTCAGCATCCAAGGTACTGAAGACACTAGTAGGAAACCTGGGAGTCGCTGACAAATACTAACCCAACAATAACGTTTTGCTGTAGAAATAAATGGAATGGTTGATAAATTAATAACGCTAGCTACCCATTATTTATCCCTTGCTATGTCATGGCACGATGCTCTTTGCATACAATGCCTTAGTTAAGCCTTAAACCAACTCTATGAAGTAGGTACA